TAAAGTCATTGATCTTACACGGATTCCTGTGGATATTTTCTTTTTTCTTTTTCTTTTTCTTCTTATGGCTTGATTGAGTCATTTAGATGTGCAATAACTAGGGCACATCTAGTTAAGTCGTAGATGGATTCTGCTTATTCTCGAAGAAGAAAAACAATCCAGATTGAGACTTTCCCTGCTTTAGGTGTCCAACATTGCAGCTAATAACGGAGGGAGAACCATATGTGCTCTGCTTTCCTTTTTCAGGCAGAATCAACACTTGCCAGATACAGTATTAATTTGAGAAATAGGCGATTTGTGGTTTGTATTGTTCAGTAGACGCGAAGAATTATATGAAACTTTAACAGGCTGTCTATCTACCGCGTAGCTTCTACGTAGTTGTTAATTTTATTCTCAGGAGCGACAACGTCAGTATTTTTTGTTAATTTTAGTGTATGATGCAAGTGTAGTGACGTGTTGATGTTGGAACGATACACACAAGTCGTGTTTTCTGAATCTTGGTAGCTCCTGTTTCTTTTTGTACAACTACACCTTGCTGCGCATGTCTAACCTTTTGTCCTGAATTTTATGTGTCGCCAGGGAGAGCGCTGTCATGCAAATCAGGGCGAAGAGAACCTGCTATGCTACTGCCTCATCTGGGGCACGAGGATGGGCCGAGCTCCCGGACGACTTGCTCCGACCCATCGTCGCTCTCCTCAGCTCGTAGTTCCGCGACCTCCTCGCCTTTGGTTCCACCTGTCATCCCTGGCGTGATTTCTCAGCGCACATGTCCTCTTTGTACCCTCTCCTCCTCCACCCGAGTACCGACCGCCAACAGTATCCCTGGTATGACTATGACTACTGGACCCTTTTCCACGAATGCACGTGGAGATTGGCTGATCCTGCTGCCGCCTCATCCTATCCCAGTTTGCTTTCCTTGAGTGATCTCAGGGGAATGTTCTTTCTGCGCTGCTCCTACGGTCACCTCATCTTCTTCGACAATAAGGGGTTCTACATTGTTAATGCGTTCAGTGGCGCTAAGGTTGTGCCTCCTTGCCACAAGTCAGACAACTTCATTCACATTAGCTATGCCACCTTGACTGCCCCTGTTGCATCCGCTGACTCGCATCTCCTTGTCGGCAGCGGAGGCTATCTGTTTCAGTGGCGCGTCGGGAGCGACTCTTGGTTGGAACACTATCCTAAAGTTCCTTTTCTTAGGATTGAACAAATTGTGGCCTTCAAAGGCAAAACATACACCCTAGGGTCTTTTGGGTCCTTCTGCATCGTACAATTTTCGCCCTGTCTCTTAGTTCAGAAGTTTGAAATTATGTTTGAGGAAGATAGAACTGAAGATCGCTATTAGACAAATCAAAAAACATGGCTTGTGGTGTGCGACGTGCTTCTCTTAATCAAACTTGAGGCAGTAAAAAGGATAAGCTCTGAGGCTTTCCAGTTCAAGGCCTTCAAGCTCAAGTCGTTGGACGCCAAGAACAAGAAAGCAAGGTGGGCGAAGGTGGACAGGTTGAATAACTGGGCCATCTTTGTCAGCGCCGACGGGCGATGCGAGGCGTTGTCGTTCATGAACCCGGAGAGATGGGGAGGGAGGAGCAACCACATATACTTCCCAAGTTATGAGTCTGAACGACCTTGGGCTGCAGTGCAACTATGGCAAAAAGCTAACAACCATTCGACAAGTTCGTGGCTCTCGAAAACTGGAAGCCAGTACCACAGATTGGTGCCAACCTGGGTCCTCCCTAGCGCATATCCTCGCTCTGGTCAGCAATGATCTTACGGCCATCGCAGGCGTGGTTGGTGATTGTCCTCTGATACAGCTTCCCTGGGAGAGTTCTACCTTGTTTGGAGCAGTTACATGATGAGTAGTTTTACTGAATGTTCTTAACTTTTTTCTAAACTTGCATTGCAAACAGAAGCTTTCACTGTAGAGTTATCTGATTCTGCTTTTTTTTGTGGGATTATAAGGGACCTTATGTTTTATTGCTCATCTACTACAAATTACGGAGATTACTTGTACTTGCGCCACTTGATAACTTTGGGTTAGGCCTGCAACTTACTTTTATACTACACAGTACACACCTAAGGTGTTCATCTAGGAGACTAGGACTGAGCCCAAAAAGCAATTTCCTAATAAACTCGCTAGTATCTGTGCAGTGCTCATTATTCATCAAGTTATAAGCTTACTGCTGTTCTTCATCTTTTCATGTTGAACAAACTTGTGATGTCTTTTATTTAGTGCCATGGCAGCTGTTTTGCTTCGAATAAGTGTGCCATGGCAAAGGTTTGCATACTCACTGCACATGTGCCATGGCAGGCGTCTTTCCCATCGGGTTAGCCAGGTTTACATGTTGCTTTTTTCGCCAAAGCTTGTTAATTACTCCCATTTTGTTAATTAAGAAGCTTTGGCGAAAAAAGCAACATGTAGAACAGGTTTTTGCCTCCAAGAACGTACATTGGATAGCAAACAAAGATTATTACAAATCTTGATGCACTACATCAGAGAAGCGAAAAGAATAAGGGAGTGTTTAGTTCGGTACTTCAGCCTGCCACTCCAACCTGCGGCAAGCCGCAAGTGAGGCGGACGATCCGTCCGCCACACGTTAGGCACGAAAAAGTGCAACACGGTAGTTTGTTTTGCTATCACATACTACAGCGTGTCAGGAAGCAAACAGTTGCCGGAGATTGTCTGGCACGCCGCGCATGTGGCACGGCAACCAAAGGCGTGATCCAAACACGCCCTAAGTACCATAACAATGGAACACAAACAGCCCCCAAGTGCAGCCAGTGGCAACAAGACAACTACATGGTGCAACGACACGATCTCATACCCAAGCAGTAAAAGATGTAGGATTGCGAGGAAGTAGAGCATTTATCGTCGTAAAACAAGGTTCTGGCACCCACTTCTTATTTCGATTGCCATCTTCTGGTTATAAAAATACTCGAGCATTTTTATCCAACTCGTAGACATGGCCATCCCTTAACCCCATCCCCTCTTGGTTCACTAAGTTTCATGTCTGTTTTTGGCCAAAGAAGAATGCACACTTGTTCATGCCTCCATCTATCCCCTCGCATACTTTGCAGTTTCAGTCGAAAAATCGATGGAGAAGGCATCCCCGTTACAGCCAAGTAGGAGAAGCGTATCTTCTCAAGCTACCAAATTTCCCGAAAGCATCTACCGGTCCATATAATTGCTGCAAGAAACTCTTAGTACCTCACCATGAAAACTAGGGTGCCAAATGCACGGTGTACAACTTTTGATGTATCCTCATAATGATCCGGCCTTTGAAGGCCACCATCTCTTGGATCAAATGTACACTTACAAAATCACAGCCCAATCAAGTGGGGCTCCCAACCTCTCTTGTAGTCCATGTGATGTCATGAGATAGTTGGAGCCGATGGTGGTTGTTCTACATTGCCAATCAATGTTTTTAGAGATTATAATAGAGGGTGTGGATCACTGATTCTCAATTTGCTAGGAAAATCATATGTGATCTGCTTTTATTTTTCTGTCAGTATCGACACTTGCCAGATACAGTATTAGTTTGAGAAATACTAGGCGCAAAGATTTATTTTCTATCTAGCGCATATATATAAGTTCCCCAAAGAATTGATATCCAGTGCCTGCATCATTGTTGATCTTATTTTGGGCTTCTAGGGGGCCACAACGCAATGCGATTAGTACCTTTGTTCAGCAGTGTATGATGTTTTTTAGAATCTTGGTAACTCCTGTTCTTTTGTATACAGTCGTTATACCTTGTTTCGCATGCCTAACCTATTTCTTGAATTTGCTGTGTCGAACAGGGAGAGCGCCATCATGCAAATAATGGACAACAAGACATCTTCTGCTTCTGTCTACTCACTCAAGGATGGGCAGAGCTCCCGGACGACCTGCTCCAACCCGTTGCCGCTCTACTACGCTCGTTCCGCGACCTCCTCGCCTTCGGTACCACTTGCCGTCATTGGTGTGATCTCTTCTCAGCGCACAGGTCCTCTGTCCAGCCTCTGCTCCTCCACCCCAATCTCCGTACAGAGGGTGGACAGTCTCTCTCACATAACTGCTGGACCTTGTTCCACAAATGCACATGGAGATTGGCTGACCCTGCTGCCACCTCATCCTCTCGCAGTTTTCTTTCCTTGAGTGACCTCAGAAACATGACCTTTCTGCGCTACTCCCATGGCCAGCTCATCTTCTACGACAACAATGGGTTCCATATTGTTAATCCATTCAGTGGCACTAAGGTTGGTCCTCCTTCCCTCCGGTCAGTTCACTTCACTTGCATCAGCTATGTCACCTTAACTGCCCCTGTTGCATCCGCTGATTCGCATCTCATTGTCAATGCTGTAGCCTATCTGTTCCTGTGGCGCATCGGGAGCGACTCTTGGACAAAACACAGTCCTAAAGTTGGTCGTTTTTTTATTGAACAAAATGTTGCCTTCAAGGGCAAGACATATGCCCTAGGGTCTTTCGGGTGGTTCTACATCATTCACTTGTCACCCAGTCTCATTATTCAGAAGTTTAAAGTTGTGTTTGAGGAAGATATAACCGAAGATCTCTATTCGGAAAATGAAAAAGCATGGCTAGTGGTGTGTGCTGACTGCTGATGCATTTGATTATCTCTGTTTAAAAGGAGATCAAGCTACAAGTAGATGTATGGACCAAACAAAGCACATAACTCAAATAAAAGCCCAGGCACATCTGACATGGTGCACACAAAAAATGTGGAAGAGAGATATGAAGGCGCAAGAAGCTAGTATTGTTTCAGGATGCAAGCCCTTATCTTTTGTATGCAAAACGGGAGTAATTAACAAGGTTCAGCGGAAACAGCAACATGTAGCACAAGTTTTGCCTCCAAGAACATACACTGGGTAGCAAACAGAGATTATTACAAATCTTGATGTACTCCATCAGAGGAGCGGAAACTAGAAAGAACATAGCGACCGAATACAAAAAGTTCCCAAGTGCATCCAACGACAACAAGACAACTGCATGGTACAACGACATGATCTCATACCCAAGCTGCAAATGATGTAGGATTATGAGCAAGATGAGCATTGATCGTCGCAAAACAAGGTTCTGGCTCCAACTCCTCATTTTGGTTGCCATCTACTGGGTATGAAAATACTCGAGCGTTTTCATCCAACTGGTAGACAAGGCCACCCCTTAAACCCATCCTCTCTGGGTTCACTAAGTGTCGTGGATGTCCAATGTGTTTCTGGCCATAGAAGAACGCCCACTTCTTCAAGCCTCCCTCTTCTAATCTCACAAACTTTGCAGGTTCAGTTGAGAAATCAATGGAGAAGGCTTCCCCGTTACGACCAAGTAGGAGAAGTGTGTCTTCACAAGCCACCAAATTTCCGGAAAGCACGTATGGGTCCATATAATCTCTGCAATCAACTCTTAGTAGCTCAACATGAAACTGAGGTGTCAAATGCACGGTGTATAGTTTTTGACGCATCTTCAAAATGAACCGGCCTTTGAAGGACACCATCTCCTTGATCAAATGTGCATTTAGAAAATCGCAGTTCAACCAAGAGGGGCTCCCAACTCGCCAAACGTACAGGCAGTGTGGGCTGCTGACAAATAGATATGAATCTGGTGACGCTTCTGGAGATATGAAGGTTCTGTAGCAGAGTTGATTCAACGGGAAAGGTGGAGCTGCAACCGTAGTGCCAGTGAGCACGTCCATAATGATAAGGGATCTGTCGTAGCAGAAAATCGCATGATCATAAGAACATTTGATGACTGCCACTTTGTCCAAAATACTTGGAGGGGTCAAGCGACACAACGGAGTACTTGGATATACAGGATCAATGAGCTCCCATGTGTTTCCAATGTTCGAGCCAGCTGAGCTTGTCTCGTCGGCACAGTTCCGAAAAATAACAGGTGGGAAGAGCTTGCCTAAGGTAGATCTGATTGACATGAATGCGGCATACCAGCTAGGGCAGGTGGCAATGAATGCAAGAAGGTCACGAGTTGAACCCAACAGGACAATGATGGAGTGCAATAATCCATGTGGTAGGTCCGCCCAGCCTTCGGGTCCAAACATGACACAGTGCACGGAGATGGGGGTGTTGGAGCTCTGGTTGATGTTTTGCATGATATCAGCTCCAAATTCTGCATTAAGGATCATGAAAGGAGAACAATTTTAGCAATGGACTTGAGTTAACTATATAATATAAATTGTTGTCACTATTTTAATTCACTTGGTACTAATACAACTATGATAATTATACAAACACAATAAAAATGTTTGTAGAAACTATAAACATAATACACAATAGAGTAAAGATTAGGGTATTGCCATCCAAACGTGCATGTGCCTCAAGAAAATTCGATCATGACAAAATTCATCAACATTTGAAAATAAAATGCAAGTTCTGTATTTTTCTTTCCATCGAATGTTATTTATATGTGTTGCACAACAGGTTTGGCTCTTGTATCCCCCTCGATCTCGGGCCCGCACATACGCGATAAATTTCATCAACATTTGAAATTAAAAGGTGCAAGCAATATTGAAATACTAAGATTGTTCTACACTGATAGTGGTAAACCCTTGAACTATTTCATAGTTTTCATATAGTATAAACACAACAGGATCACACATCCACCAACAACACATACACTCAAATCCCCAAATCATCCGGTCAGGCTAACAAGAACAAAAGTGCGATGAGCGCGTCAGAGGAGGTCACCCCCAATTGGGGTGATGGCGGGACAAGGAAGATGATCCTGGGCAGCCTTGTGCGGTGGAGAACTCTGTCTGACCGTGGACAGTGGCACCGGTCAGTGAATATATATACTCGGCCAACCCACGAGACCATGTCCTACACATAAATTGACTTAACCTAGATCACATCGTATCCTACATATTTGGGACTCAAGCTTGACTCAAACACGTGAACTCCTACTAGTACATCTACATGACTTTGGTTAGTCCCCAAAGAACTAAAGCCACGTGACATGCAAGCACCAACTACGTCATGTTCCAAACAAAACAATCAAGATTATGCTAACATTAGCGCCGGCCCCCTGCACCACCAATGGTTGTCATGGGTTCTCAACTCCAACATGAGGTGGGGAAGGTCTCGTTCACCATACCGGCAATCACTCCAAAGCTGCGTGTAGGTACAAATCAGAGCAAGGGGGCAGAACTCGACATCAACTTGGTTCCTTCATGAGTCCGGCAGCCAGCAAGGAAAATGAAGTGGGCAAAGTCAACCTCAACCAGGCTCATCCCCTACCCCCTGGAGCCGGTAACACGAAAGCCAAGCACCACAAAGATAAGAATAGCCTCAAGGGTAAGCCAAGGAAGGAGGTAGATCAATCCTTGGTGAACACCAGGGCGGTGTTGGGTAAATGCATGGGACGTGAAAGTGAGTCTGGTAGTGAGTTTGTGACGACACCTAGTTACACGGGTCTTGGTCTGAACAAGAAGGCATGAGGTGAGGGTAATGGAGGTGGCATGAGCAACATAGGTCTGTTAGGTGGTAAGGAAGCTATCGGCCCATGGGTTGTCGATGAATGACATGTGATAAGGAAGGCACCTGTCAGGAGAAATGAGTTGCCTGATCTAGAACTGTTGGGGCCTCAGGCAGTCCCAGATAGTTGAAGAGCTAGTTTGCCTCGTGCGCACATACACCACTCGATGATTATTTTACTTCTAAAACTCGACAATGTGAAATAGTTTCAATAATCTTAGGTGGATGCTAGGCCGCAGGAATTATATTACGCATGATGGTAAGGGCAATGGTGCCAACATTGCGTTGTTCTGAGATGAAAGAACTAAAATAAAAAAGACTACCATATATGACCTGAGGTACATTGATGTCTTTATTCAAGATGATTCCCATGGCCCGAAGTGTCGGGCTACATGGTGAACCAAGGAGCCAGGAAGACGTTACATCTGGAGTTTACTCAAAAGAATAAAGCCAAATGCTCATGAACACTTGTTGATGATAGGTGATTTTTATGAGACGATGTGGCAACATGAGCACTTCTTAGTAGCTTGGATATCCGAGAGAAAAATACCAATTTTAGAGAAGCCTTGTTCTAGTGTGATATTCATAATTGGGGCTATAAGGGGCCATCTTGGACATACGATAATAAACAGTATGGCAAAAGCAATGTGACCGTCGGGTTGAAAGTGCAGTTGCATCGTCGGGTTGGTGTGATTTATTCAGAGTGAACAGTGGTACACACATATGCTCCAACCACTTTCCTCTATGGCTGCAATACGGGAGACAGACCAAGGTGCATAGCAACGTGAAATCCTTTCGGTATGAGTAGATATGGGAAAGAGTACCGTCGATGGAGAGAACTATTGAAGTCCCTAGACGATGACTGCACTAAGTTGGGAGTGCTGCAATAGGATGTTTGGTCCTGGACATGAAAGATTTTGGGCCATGATAAGGAGTACTCATTGGCTGAGAAGGAATATTATAGTCACATACTATATGCACCATCTTATTGGTTGCGAACTGTTGAAATATATTGCCAGCCTCCCTCCATCAGTTCGGACTTTTGGATGAGTTGGCTGGAGCATGAATTCAGTATGGTATCCGAGCCAAGAGGTCTTGAGTTCAAGACCCTACCGACGCAGTATTAAATAAAATGATTTTGCGGCCTACATCGACCCCACGTCTAAGGACTAAAATAACCTAAACGTGAGGGGGAGTGTTGAAATATATTGCCCGCCTCTCTCCATCAGTTCAGACTTTTGGATGAGCTGGCTAGAGCATGAATTCAATACGGATGGTCTGGAAAGCATCTTAAGAAAGCAAGTCTTGGAAGGGAGGTTAATTGCTAGGGGAGACTCGGTGTCTCTAAACTAATGTTTGTTGATGGAAGCCTTTTGTTCTTCAAGGCCATAGGAAGAGAGGCGAGGGTAGTGAAGGACACTCCAAATCTATTTCAAAGGTGTACATGATAGCTTCTTAGCCCAGCTAAATGCTCTTTATTATTTAGTGAACACTGCCCGCATGTCCAGTAAGAGATAAAGGTAACCCTTGGTGTTGTAACTTCCACTTTTGAGAGTAAATATTTGGGTTTACCAACCCCAGAAGGTAGGATGTTTGACTCGAATTTCAATCGATCATGGAAAGGTTCACAAAAATGTGCAACGACTGGATTAAAAAGTATATGACCCATGCAGCTAAAGAGATCTTGATCAAGTAAGTGGTTCAAGCGCTTCTCACTTACTTGTTTGGATTGTTCAAATATCCTTGGGCTTTTTTGAAAAGTTGGGCTTTTTGTGGTAAGTATGAAAAACTTATCTGGGACTTTAGGTGGGGCGGTGAGTAAGGACATCACAAGTCCATTGGCTCTCCTGGTACCAACCGGTAAAACAAAAGAGAGGAGATGTTCTAGGATTATGGGATAGGTATATGTTTAACCAAGCTCTCTTGGAATGGCAAGGGGTGGATACTCATTCACAAGCCGGATAGTTTATGTTCTAGAATCTTGAAATGAGAATATTATCCTCGTGTGAATATTCTAGACATGGTCATTTCCTATTATGCATCGCCGGCTTGGCGTTAAGATACTCAAGCAAATACATCATCTGGCGTATAGAGAATGGATGAAAAATTCAGATTCAGAGAGACAACTGGATTCTGAGATAGTATGGCCTTAGGTTACCAAATTCGCCAGAAACTCGAGGTTGAGGTAGGTTAACCAGTTGATTGTCTCAATAAAAATGAATGGAATATTAACCTTGTCCATAGGCTATTTTCTGACGTCAATGCAGAGGAGATATTTCGCATAAATCACCCTTCTACGTGATGGATAACTTGCTTATAAACTTGCCACCCAACTCACATTCAGGTACAATTCCCCTGCTTCTAGCTCTTCAAGTGCGACATATAATTGGAGTATTTGGGGTGTGTTTTGGAGAGCTAAGGTTCCAAAGAAGGTTAAGGTCTTTGGCTGGAGGTTGCTACTGGCTCACTGGCTACACAATTTTGTAAATTTATAAAGGTGCTGAGTGTAACACCATTTATGCTATTTCTGGTAACAATGTGGAGCTTGAATTCCAATCCACGATGGCTTTGTGGTGTTGGCTAGTGTCCCATCAATACTTCTTTTTCCCACCTGTCTAATGATTGCAATCAGTCTATAGTAATATACAAGTCTAGTGTTTTCCCCCAATAAAATAAAATAAACACAACTCGAAGATGAACTAAATTTTTACATTAATTTTCCTAGAAAAAAATAGGGCGAGTTCTTCTCCTACCTTCTTTGGTGTTGACAGCGGAGGGCGAAGTGGAGGCAACAACTACATTCTCCGATGCCAGTCGTGGTAAGACGAGGCCATCGGATTCAGTATGCTGCTTTCGTCCATCGCCAATCATCATGTTTGCTCCAGATCTGGGGAAAATGGACGCCTTCGACCGCGGTGACTCCAGATCTGGATGTGACTGGTCGCCCGCACCTAGGATTCCAGATCTGGATGCGACTGGTCGCCCGCACCTAGGATTCCAGATCTGGATGGAAACACATTAGTAGCCCACGCGGTTATCTCAACGCATCATCCACCACTCAACTGTGGGGCGGTTCTAGCGCAGTTGGTGTGGATGTCAAGGGGGAGGGGAACGTGTGTGACGAGAAAGAGAGAGCGGGGGGAGGGGAGAAAGAGAGGAGAGAGAGAGAGTCGTGTGTGGGTTTGTTCGTTATATAAAAGGCTTTATCGGAGTACCAAGGGGAACCTTGTCAAACTCCGAGTGATTTTTCTTGCTTTTGGCAACTTTATACCTTGAACAAGCTCTATTACTAAGAAAAGAGGGAGGCTAGATTGTGCATGCTTGTGAATCGTGCACTCGCGTTTCGATAAGTTTTATTTTCCATTTGGGAAAGGGTGCAACACCTCCTTGTTCCCATTAGAAGATTAGGTGAAGGCTTAATAAGAAATTAGGGAAGGCCCACCCTGAAATTCAATAGGAGAAGAGATTAGGTGGAGGCTTAATAGGAAATTAAGGAGCTCCCATCAGGAAATTCTGGTGCAGGTAGATTAGGTGGAGG